TATTTCAGGTATTCCCCAAGAATTTCAAAATCTCTTGAGACAAGGTAGCAATAGATTTTCCAGCTGCTGTGTGCAGGAACATTCCGACTTAATAGCATCTTCCCGTGATAAGAAAGATGCAAAAAAATAAAATAAACTTTGAGCGAGTTAAACATAAGCAAAGTATTATAATACTATATACACTTCATAGTGAAAAAACATTACAGGAAGTGACGGATAACTTTTTGCAAATGTATTTTCAACATAAGAAGTGACTACTTGGCATCCAAAGTTAGAAAGAATATAGCCCTTGAATTTGAGTTGGATGTGATCTGTCAACCATTATCAGACTTGAGTACAGCAGGTAACCATCACGGTCTACTGGAACTATTCAAATAAACTGCATAGGCTTGGTATTTTGAAGGGCAGCTGCTTTAAGAGCAACTGAAAAACACTGTGCACAATAATGTAGCAAACCAATATCCAGCCTTCACGCATTGGATCAAAGTGCTGCCATTATGGGCAAAGGTCCCGGTTAGGCAAGGCCTGAAAACATTGGACAAATTCCTGTGAACGTCTGCTTGAGTTTCTACACCTGTTCACAATTAAATAAATATTTGATACCCTGTTCAGAGCAGCCTGTAAATTGCCAAAGAGGGATGATTCAAAATTCATGCCAAGAGACAAAATAAATCACATTCTAGGCTCAGACAACTTAAATCTCCATATGTTCTGTAACTAAATACCCCAAAAAGAACCTTACTGACACAAGTGTGTGGAGTGAGGCCGGAATATAATACATCTTTTTAGGGTTTTTGAGGAACTTACCCGATACACCTCCTCCAAAAGCATCTGGGCACAGTTCTTGCCGAGGTCCTCTGGAAGCATGGGGTCTCCCTGCCCCTGCGGCGTGGACGACATCTCAGCGCTGAGAAAGGAGCCATTCATCGTCTCTGCCACCAGGGTCAGACCATAACCTGGAGATCTGCAATTCACCAAAATGAATGACTATGCGTTTCTTTGACTAAAGCTGTAAGTACAGGTGATAAAACAGTGAGCAGGATTGTTTAACAAACGTTTTATTTCCCTGTAATTCCATTTAGATTCAGATACTCACTTTCCAGAGTTGGCTCCCTTCATGTGGTCGGTGTAGATGTAGATGTCAGGAATGAACTTGTTTAGGACGCCCCTGGCTGTGTCCACTAACCTGTTGGCCATCTGAGGAGAAACTCTCACTGAATATCTGGGTTTAGACTGTCAAGGACCTTTCAGATCATCAGAACACACATTTTATTCAATTGAAAAAGTGCAAGCTTAAACTGAAAGGAGCACAAACTTGAGAAAAAACTAAGTAAAGCTCACTGGCATTTGTGAACAGATGGAGTGATTAGTAAATAAATCAAGAGACTTATTCAACAACCATTTACAAATTGACACATTGTTTATTTTTCATGCAAATATGCAGAAAATGATCTTGTTCGTGCTTCTCCAATGTGAGGATATAATGGATTTATGCGTGTACACATCTGGAGCTTTCACATTAAGCTGTAATGGCTTTTGAATGTCAACTTGTATCATATGTATATTGTTGACAGATGAAAAAGGGCCATGACTGTGAGCTCGACAAGGATACGCCACTCCCCTGATCCTCTTGATCTTCCCCGGGTCGGTCAGCTGCACCGGCCTCATCGTCCTGCGGGTTGGACATATGAAAACGACCTCTCCTCCCCCGCCAGGCGCCATACCCCTCTTCACCACCTGAGGGAGCATCAATAGAGGGAGAGTGAGAGAGCGAAGGATAGACTGACCTGTGTTCAAGTAGCAGTAGAACATTTGAACATAAACCCCCCCCCCCAAATCAAATGTGACAGCATGCTTATCAGCAGATCACTATTGTTTGCTCACCTTGAGATCAAAGCCCTCTCCATCAATGCCAAACTGCTTCATCAGAGGGAGGGCTGTGGACTTCAGCACATCCACCTGGAGGAGACAGAGGGTTTACAACCATTAAGTTGGAAAAGACAGCGAAGTAAAGTGGAAACTCCTGGCACCAGAAAACCTGCACTGGCTAATCAAATATTGATACCAATAAATGTTTCTACAAAGCTAGATCACTCTGTAAGAAACCATGCTCTGGCTCTGTTATCTGGATTTCTAGATTATATTCAGCTTTCTTGCCGTTGTAAATAAACTGGTGGGTATACCAGACACCAAAGCAAATTCCTAGTATGTGCAAACGTACCTGCCAATAAACTTAATTCTGATTCTGAAACAGTTGCAAATCTGCTGGAGGTAGCCATGTTGCTAATGTTAGGAACAAGAATGCTGATCTTTCTGTAAGTATTCTTGTCTGTTGAGATTTAAAAATATGCTTCTGCGTCATCACCGGGTTAAGATATCTGCCATTTCCCAAAACTGCAACAAATTGTTTCCATGACAACACTTTTCTCTAGCGTCTGCAATGCTTCTTCTCAGTGCTGGTTTGTTGACAATATACATGTCAAAACAATGCAGCTCAGAGCAGAAAAAGGATGATGCATTGGCTGAGATTGGACTGCTATAAACAAACTGGTTTAAAACGTGGAGGAAAACAGTTACAAAAGTATGTGAACCACAATCTGTTTACATTTTAATAATCAAGTCAATGTACAAATGAATTAAAAACCTGAATATGTTCCTTAACTATTATGTGTTCTTTACAAACTCTCCACCTCAGACATAAAATATGCAGTCTGTAAAAAAAAATAGATAATTTATCCGACATATAATTACATGTACAATAGAGGGCACGCCCATGTGGATTTGGCAGGTGTGGACTTCCCATAAATTCAATTTACAAATAGGTTGAGGTTAGTCGTTTTGGTAATGAGCTGATGCATGCATGAGGGTCCTCACCGTCGGGTCAATGTGGTCGTTGGTGACCCCTTTAAGCGTGGCCTTCAGAGAGGTCTTCATAAATGGAGCCAGCATGAGCAGAGCCTCCAGATAGTAGCCGATCGAGCGCTGAGTGTTACATTCATGTTCTACAGAGCCCCCATACAACAAGCCAGGCTGGTAGAATAACACAGTACCTTGTGAGGAAAGACGATTGTTGTTAGTGAGTCTGTATGTAGAGGGTGCTACTTTGCAGTCTTTTGTTAAATAAACAAAATAAAATAAACAGTTCAATTGAACACCAAATGCACACAGAAATAGCAAAACTAAGGTGTCCAATTAATTATGAGAACAAAAATACAGAAAACATTGAATCATTTCTACAAGGATGCCTTTTATGCATAGCATAGGTGTTTATTCAATGATGACATCTCCACAATCATCTGGCAGTAAACAGTAATCAGATAAACCACATACATTATTACAAAGGTAAACACTTTAGTCACATCATAATGATAACACTCACCTGTCTGGTTAATTTCTATTCTGGAGCCATTGGTCACTTTGTCTAGCAGTCTGATAAAGCTGGCCTCGAAATCTGTAGAAGAAAAGCAACAATGATACTCATACAGTATATCTTTAACCAGGCTTTCTGTGGCTGAGTGCCATGTTTTAATAAAAGTAAAGACCTTGTTAAAAAAGTATGATGGGACAAAATGTTGCCCTCTTTTCTTATTTTACATACAGTAACAAGCATTTACAGACAAACAAGTTGATTTAAGTATTCTTGCATCTACTGTGGGAAGTTTTGAAGATGCTCACTCACATTAAGCAAGATAAGTCCCTCAAATAATATGATAACGTTAAGGCAGAACTCTGCTTTGCAAATACTAGTTCAAACTCTTGAAAGGTATAACAGCGACATAACTTTATACAATTATATTAACTTCACATTTGCAGTACTGTACTATCGTTTCCCCTCCTATGACTTCCAGTTATAAAACACACTCCAAACTGCGTAACAGCTAGCATGTTAGCCACCGAGCTAACTGCTACGCCACATGCAAAGTGGAGCTGAAACTCACCGCGGAGCCCCGGGTTGTCGTCTTTGGACCTTATGTTTTTTATTCTAACACGCTTTCCACTGAGTGTTGATAAAACTAGCCGCTGTCTGAAGAAATTGCAACCATCGTAATCGAGCCCGTGGCTGGCCATGTTATTGTTGTTTCTGATGGAGTCAGTGGGAATCCACGTGTGTTTGTACAGGAAAACGCTGGTGGGAGGCGAATATACGGCAAACCACGAGGGTCAAAAGGGGAATTTACAGGTGGTTACAGTCAGACCATGGCTTTATTGAATGAATACATTTCAAAATAAGACATTATTAAATGTATTACATTACTTATTTGTTGATGCAGAAAATCTAGTCCACACATTTTATTTTTTTAAACCTGGATTATTGTAATTATTTATTTTCAAATCTAATTAGCCTATCTTAAAATACTCCAGTTGATCCAGAATGGTGTAGCGGGGTCCAAACCAAACCTATGGTCCAAACCTTCTGATTGTCATTATGCTATGGCATCATGCTATGCAAAACGAAAATAATAAAGATGGTGGTGTTTATCTATGCTTTCAACTTTAGATTTGGGGTAGAATTGTGTTTTCATTTAAGGCTTCATTCAGAATTCTTGCTGCTCCACTGTCGTCCTTTCAAAAAAGGATTTAATCAATGGAAGAACATCATCCATTCTAATAACCAACATCCCCTCTGCATTTGACCTTAAATTTCTATCCATGGCTAGGGTTTCTCTAATGTGATTAAACAATATTTGATTCTGCAAAATGTTGTCTAAGTTTTCATAAACTCTGTTGCAATACTTTCTTAAAAGGCATACTCAAAACTATTCCCTTTTGCATGCTTTTGTGTGAGTGAGTGACTGAGTGAGTGAGTGAGTGACCTCAGCATAACAGCTATTCTAGAAGGTGATTAATTGCCTCTCTGAAATAAGACTTGTGTGGGTGCTGCATCGCCGAGTTTGACCACCAGACAGTGCCATAACCTTTCTTTGAAAACACCGTAGGAGGGGCTTGATAGCATTTTTTTTCGCTTAAAGGCACAAAATGTGATCAACATGTAAACGAAATGGATCACCAACACTATTTGTAAGGATTGTCTCTTTTATCTCTATTTAGTATAGGGCACCTGTTGGCATCTAAGGAAGCAACAGTGAATTGCAACTTGATTTTAATACATAGACTAACACAATGTTTACATGTACCCCACATGGTTCCTTAACTCTGATGATGTTATTCAGATCAGTCATTTCAGCAAGGTATTAGAATGTTACATCGTTAATGCCTGCAAACGGTTTTGAAAGTGCCTGCCTGCAATCTGCATGTCTGTACGCTGAGGGTATCGAGGATCGGAAGGGATTAATCACCGCAACCTAGCCAAAAAGCTTTATCCCCCTTTGTAGATAATTACATAACCGTGTTATACAGGGAAAAATCATCTCCGGTGAACCGCAAGCAGTGACACGGACGAGGAAATGTGCTAACTATCCGAAGATAGAAGCTTATTTGGCTCGTTGTGCGTCGAATCGTCAGGGGAGAGGATCTTCATCTTCCCCCGTTGCCACTGAGCTGGGCTCCTCTTCTTCCTCATCTTCTTCCTCCTCCTGCATGTGTGTTTCTGAGGGGACATCAAGGTCCAGTGAGAGACTGGGTGCAAAAGACTCGCCCACTCCCTGTTGCGCACGAAAGTAGGTTATACCTGCTGTGCATCCAGAGAGTGTTTTTCTTCTCATGGCAAGGATACGACAACACTGTTGCTAAAAACTCAGTATATCGTGCAGAGATGGTTCTCCAAAGGATTTTTCGTGCTGTTATTATGGGACCTCCGGGGTCGGGGAAAGGAACCGTGTCTGCACTCATTACCAAAACTTTTGGGTTAAGCCACATTTCCAGTGGGGACATTTTGAGATCCAACATCAGCAACAAAAGCGGTAAGATAGCGATGACCTAATTCAAACATACACCAAGGCAGTATATCTGTCCTTTATTTCTGTAAGAATGGTTTCTAGACACATAAGGTGTCTGGATTTTATAAACCACATTTGTTCGTATATTTAGACTTTGATGTATGACTTGTCTGTCTATGCTGCATGAAGCACTTTGTGGATTTTAAAAAGTTCTCTAGAAATAATTTAAAATATATAAATTAAAACAAGAAGTCATGAGACTGCACCTTTAGATTATTTGAGGTGTAATGATAGGCTACTTGTTACACAAAAACACACACGATTATATCTGTTTTTATAACCTTGTTTTCTTGAGAATTCACTCTTTGAAACCACCTACACAATGTATTTCATGCCCAAAACTTATGTATATTAAACACAATCTAGACCATGACATGAAGCGAGACATTCCCTCACTTTGGGTTGTTTCTGGTCTGCTGTGATAAAGGAGCCACTCCTACACCAGTTAGATGTCCTATCTTTTTGAGGGCTTGAATACTGTGGATTCAGATAAAGAGGGTGTAAAGATAAGGCTGCACCTTTGTCCCTTTAGACGAGTAGTACAGACAAAGAGCTTTGTTATAAGGCATATGAACCTGCAGCAATGTAAGGGCCAACATTAACATACATCTATGCATGTTGTTTCACGGTAAAGCAGGCATTGTAAAGCTCCTCAGTTGAACTAAATCCCTTTTGTTGTTAGCATCTTTGCCGCTTCACTGCAGCAGCTGGCATTCAAACAGTTCTTCTCATTGACTTTCCCAGTTTAAATCTCTCCCAAACAGTCCTTGGATCTTAACTAGTGACCTTCAACTTCCTAAACACTCACTTTTGTCAGACTGAAAATATGAAATGGCTGATTTTGGTGTGAGAATTGCAAACAATATGGTTTACAGAGACCAATGCGTTTACCTCACAAAATCCTTCTTTTGGTTGTCACTTATACTTGACTATGTTCCTTGCTAAACTGCTAATCATGCACGTAGCATTTGCTATGGTAACACCATGTTTTGGGTTCAGCTTGCATGCCCAAAACATATAGTGTGCCATTTTAAATTCATCCTTCAGCACCTAAATAATGTATATCTGTTTAATACTTTAGATATTGCTGTATGTGTTTGAAAGTCTATTTTTTTTTTTACCATTTAGCTTTATGGCTACACACTAGGTCACACCAGAGCAGTATGTGAGCACATTCAGCTCATTTCTTCAAGACTTGTCAGGAAGTTCCTTTTTTTCAGCTGGACTCATATCAACTCAAGTGGAAGTGAAAGGGAAAAAAAGAAACTGTCATGCCCCTGAACCCAGATTCTCCTGTCAAATGTTCCATTAAGTAACTTTACCCAGACATCTTTTTGCTTGTTCAGCTTGGTTGTATGTTTGCAACACACACTATAACAACTATGAACTGCACTGATACATCACATGGATACAAGATAGGTGTGTTGTGAATGCATTTCTTTGTAATTCAGGAAGACCTCATGTTTTCATAAATGTTGGTACTTTTTTAATAACTTAAGAGACATAGAATGTATCATTCTTAAGTCCATTATAGTCAAGGGTTGAAGCAGCTAAGTCACAATATTGTTATTTTGCTGGAGTAATTTAATAGCAATAGATGCTAGACAAATAGGTAGGCTACAGATAATTGTTCTGTGGTTTGAGCAGCATTTGAAAAGTCAAGATAAAAAAATGCTGTTGTGAAAAAGACTGAGTTATGTAATGAACAGCATCCTCTCTCTGTTGTTCTGTTTGTATGTCAGAGCTGGGTCTGTTGATGAAGTGCTGTATTGATCAAGGTCAGCTGGTACCTGATGACGTCATGTCCCGTCTCATCCTGCGTGACCTGAGAGTGATGGACCACAGCAGCTGGCTGCTCGATGGTACGAGCATTATTTCTGCTGGGAATCGATTTCTAGTAATATCATATTGTCAGCATTGTTTGTTATAGAATTGTGGGATAATGAAAGCAAAGTTAAATTCATATCATAGATTTTCTTTGACTTTTTTGTCCTTTACTGTTAAAATCTAATGTTGGTATAATTTATCGGTACCACTTTACAATAAGACTACCCTTATAAACGGTTTACGAATAGTTTGTAATTAATGTATTAATCAGGTTGTGAACACTTTATAAATCATTAATAACCTTTATAAGACATGATATAAACAGGGCAACTGTGACCGGTTGCTTGCCAAATAGTGAGCCCAAATGTATCTGTACTGCTAAGCCTTATATTGGCTACCTAGCTTACTTTGTTTTCTTCATCAGCCAGCATCCTTGGTATCTGTTGTTCACTGAGTTGATTCTCGCTAAGTAGCCAATATATTAGTCATCTT